ACAACACCAAGCCAAGGGTTAAGATCCCCTTACCGGTCATCTTAAAAAAAAAAAAAAAAAGTGCAATTAAGGACTGGCCGGTTAGCTCACTTGGGACAGCGTGGATCAAGGGTTCGGATCTCCCTACCGGTCAGCCGTCAACAAAAAAAAAGAAAGAACCCAAAACGCAATCAAAACAGTATAAAATAATATATAATGAAAAGTAAGTTTCCTGCTTACCCAGCCTTTGGTCCCAAACCTGGGCTGCCCCTTCGGCCTCTGTCCTGAAGCCGGCAGTGGGCGCGCTCCACTTACCACATGTGGGGGTCGCCCCACCCACCGCTCCGTATTGCATTTCTCTTGCCTTGATTCTTGTACATGGAGCAAAAGGTCTCCTGCCCGTGTGGTTTCTTTTTTTTTTTAACAGCTGCATAGTATTCCATCAGGGTTTATTTAAACAGTCGCTTAACGGATAAGGTACTGAGTGGAATAGTGTCCCCCCGCCCCCACTCATGTCAACCCAGAACCTCAGAATGTAACCTTATTTGGAAATAGGGGTTTTGTTTATTTTTTGTGGCTGGCTGGTACAGGATCTGAACCCTTGACCTTGGTGTTGGGACACCGTGCTCTAATCAGCGGAGCTAACTGGCCAGCTGGGAAGGGATTTAGCAGATGTTAATTCATTCAGATGAGCTCATTCTGGGTGGGGTCCAACAGCTGGCACCCTTATAAGGAGAGGGATATTTGGACACGAGGAGGAGGTTATCGTGAAGACAGAGGCAGAGACTGAAAGCCAAGGACTGGCAGCAGCCACCAGGATCTGGGAGGGGGACACGGGATAGATTCTCCTTCAAGCCTCCAGAAGGAACCAGCCCTGCCAACACCTTGATTTTGGACTTCTGGCCTCCAGACGGGAAGAGAATACATTTCTGTGGTTTAAACCACCCAGTTTGCCTCCAGCTCTAGGAAATGAATACAGACACCGAATTTGTTCTCCTTGCTTCTGGGCATGTGGAGGAACTGGAGAGAGTGCCGGTTAGGGTGGAGGGAAAGGGCGTCACACCAAAGAGCCTTTTATGAAGACTAAATGACACTTGCAAGAAGCCAAACCAAATCCCATCAAGCCTGAAGTTCAGAGTGGGAGGGAGAGGGTCCAGGCAGCATCGGGATGGGGACTCACCTGTAGAGAGGGGCGGGGAAGTTGAGTTCAAGGGTCCCTGAGGGGATGTAGGGCTGGGCAGCCTCCCATCTCAGGGTCTGCATGTCTGCCTCTGTGTCCCCAGAGGCTCCTGCCAAGAAGGCCTCTGGGGCCATTGTTGACAGTGACAAAGAACACCCACAGTGTCCTGGCAACAGCGCCCCCCTCCCCCCAGGTGTAGGCAGTGAGGAGGCGCAGGGGAGGGAAAGCCACACCAAATACTTGACAGTTGTGCATGACTTAGCGTGCGTGGGTTGGGCCAGAGCCACTAGGGTCACTGGGAGGTGGGGTTTGTGGCCACAAAGCCCCCAACTCCTCACACCCCTGACCTGGGGCTCAGCCCTGTCCCCTCCTCTGGGCTCCCTCAAATCAGTCCCACATGGGGGCTTCCGAATCCCCCCTGCACCCTATCCATCCCAAGAGCAGGCAGCGCCCCCCATTCCAGAAGCCCAGGCACCTGGAGTCCCCTACTCCTTTCCTCCTCTCCTCCCCTCCCCCATCCAATCCTTCATCTCTGTTCTTGAAATCCATCCAGAACAAGGACGTGTGCATGAGTGCTCATGCAGCGGATTCACCACGGCTGAGTAGGTGCGCATGGCCCAAGGGTCCAGCGACAGGTGAACGGACACACAGCGTGGTCCATCCACACACAGGAACATCACTCAGCCGTGAACAGGAACGAGGCTCTGACACACACTACCACGTGGATGGACCTTCAACACATCACGCTCAGTGACAGACGCCAGACACAAAAGGCCACAGTGTGTGATTCCATTTATATGAAATGTCCAGAACAGGCCAATCCACAGAGACAGAAAGCGGATTTGTGGTTGCCAGAGGGTGCGGAGTGACTGCTGATGGGGACGGGTTGCTTTTTGGGGTGAGGAGAATGTTCTGGACAGAGGTGACAGTTGGAATTAGATGGAGGTGACACTGAAGGTACTAAATGCCACTGAATTGTTCACTGTAAGACGGTATTCTAAAGATCATGGGTTTGGATCCCCCTAATGGCCAGCTGTCAAAAATGCAAGACAAAAAAAAAAGTCTCGAACATCTGATGGTATATTGTTATTTATGTGTATTTTACAATAAAAAAATGTAAACAAAACAAAAACCAACGAACCTCCAGAACCCGCCCACCTTTCTCCACCTTGGTCACGTGCTGCCTGGACTGGGGCAGAAGCCTGCCCCCTACCGTCCGGTCTCAACACACACCCGTGGCTCCCACTTCCTCCTGCAGCCCACAAGGCCCTGCACAGCCTGCTCTGTCCCCTGCCTGCCATCCCCTCCTCCCTAAAGCCACACGGGTCTCCTCACTATCCCTCCAACCCCCCAGGCTTGGTCCTGCCCCAGGACCTTTGCGTGGCTGTGCCCTCAGCCTGGAGTATCACCTTCTATCCAGGTGTCTCCCTGCGTCCTCAGGCCCTTGGCCCCTGCGGTGTGACAGCTGTCTAAGCACGACCACAACACAAGCTGTATGAGGCAGGGTTGGGTCCTGGTCTGTTCTGTTATCCTCACCGCCTAGGAGGAGCCTGGCCTGCTGCAGGGACTCACCTGCAGGGAAGGACCTGGAGGCTGCCCCCCACTACCCTCTTCTCAGCATAGCCAGAGTGGGCCTCAAGAACACCCAGGGTCCCCACCAAGGCCACCCCTCCACCCCCTCCCAGACACTTGCAAACCACCCTTTTCTGTTCTTCCAGGCCTGCTCCTGGCCGCCCCCTCCACCCTCCGCCCCTGCCTCCTGCATCTCCCTCCCCTCCGTGGCTGCTGACGGCTGGACCTGCACCTGTCTTTCAATTCTCTTCACCGGTGATTGCCAAAGCTGCATTCGAGGATCAGTGGAAATCCAAGATGCAGTCTGCCCCTTCCCCCAGCCCTGTGCGGCCTTCCCCTCCTCCCCAGCGCCTTCTGGCAGCCACTGTGCGCCTTACCCACCCCCAGGCCCGATACCCTTCCCCCCGGGTCCCCTCCACCCCCTCATGTCCATCATTCCCACAGTGGCCAGAACCATCCACTCCAAGTGGGAGGCGGAGTGCATCTGTCTCTAAGCCAGCCCCGTCTACACTGCCTCCATCACAGCCTCTCCTGGTGAGCTGAGATCACACCTCTCATCCTCCCCCCTCAACAGTAACAGGACCAGTGAGCAGCTGCTCCCCTGCCCTAGCTGGGGTGCAAGGACCCGGGGTGAGTCCAGTCCTCAACCCACAGGCCTGTGGATCTAGGGACTTGGCCTGCAGAGGAGCTGCCAGGACCCGGCACCTCTTGCAGACAGCCGGTGCATTCCTCCCCAGGCCTGGGCTGCCCCTCAGAAGGTGTTTCTGAGCTCAGAGGCGGGAAGGGGCTCCAGGGCAGGACTGTGTAGCCCTCAGCATAGCCAGTCCTGCCAGCCAGCTCTAGCCAGGCACGAATCCATGCTTGCTTAATGACAAGGACTCTGCATTACAGGAGAAACAAGGCTCCTCTGCCCTGGGCCCGACAGGGCTCTCTGCCCACCCCCCTCTGCAGCCCGGCCCCTTTCGTCTGGACCTGCAGCGGTTCTGGGCCCCAGATGACAGTCCTACAAAGCCCATTCTGCTGGGGGCAGCACCTGGGCCCGTTAGCAATTGCAAGGGGCTGGGGCTGGGGCAGAGATGAGGTCTGTTTCCTTATTAAAATGAAGAAAAACGCAAACCAACAAAAATAAAATCTCAACCAATCAAAATACACACTTGTATGTACACACAGTCCCCCCTGCAGCAGGATGGGATGGGGAGGGGGGCCAGGGCTACCCTCTTCCTGGACACACGCAGAGACAGACGTGCATCTGACCAGTAGGTTTAGTTGATCAGCCTCCTTTAAATGACAGGGCTTTACACTGTGACCCCTGCCTCCCCGTCTAGTCTTAAGCATTTCTGGGACTGGTCAACAAAAACACAAGAACGAATCCCCCCAAAAATCACAAGTACATATATACACATGCACACAGACACGCCCACCGGGGGGGGCACAGACCGCCAGAACGGGGGGTTGGGGGTGAAGTACCCAAGAACAGTGCGGTGACGGGTGGGGCTCAATGTGGGCCTCCCCGGCCCTGTCGGCTGTGTCAGCCCCCACCCCCACCCCAGACCCACTCACCCTGGCTCCATGTTTCCACCAGTGCAGGGGGATGGGGAGGAGGAGGGCAGCTGCTCAGGCCCGACCACCCCTCCCCACACCATCCCTCCTGCGGCACCCAGGGGCTGCCTGCTGCTGGGGACATGGGAGAGGAGGAGACAGGATGAGATGTCAGGGGAGTCCAGGAAGCCTCTGCTCCCACCGGGGACCCTCCCATGGTCCTTCTCCTCTGGCTTCCCCTCAGCAGTCACACAGATGGATGGACAGCCCCATCTGGGGGAAGACACGCTGATTCTGCCCACCAGGACTGGCCGCCTGCGTCTCGCCTGGGGAAGTGACACAAAACACAAGGACGTTCAGTCTGCCCGTGCTCGCGCTGCAGCCAGGACGGCAAGTGGCCCTCACTGCGGTCTTCCTTGGAGAAAAAGTCCACCTGGAGCAGCTCTCTGGCGCAAAGGCAGGGCCAGTGCTGAAAAGCCACCGGCTTGAATGGCACTGAGATCACTGCCTGGGGGCAGTGACAGCGGAGGTGGCTGCAAAGACACTTTAAGCAGGTAGGAAACGTCCTCTTCAACCACAGGCTGGGCTCCACTGGCTGACAGGGCCATCCAGTTTTGGGTTTGACACGGCTGGGGTCTCAGGTCCTCCTGCTCAGTCTCCCCGCTGACCAGCCAGCGTCCGGCTGTCCGTCCCAGCATGGGCCTGGATAGTGTGGCAGCAGCAGGTGGGTGCTTCCACGAAGAGCGTGCAGCCCGACGAGACAACAGACGCAGCACGGAAGCACATGGGGTCCGGGAGGTGCGTAACACGCCCCAAGTACAGACGGTCCGAGCGGGGGCCAGGAGGCCACCTGGTGTGGTTCTTGCCCTTCGGGAAGGGAGACGGAGCTCCCAGTGCTGAGGGTTCCCCGACCATGTCCCCACCCCAAATACTGGTGGACATAGTTCACAATCAGGCGTTTAATGAGACTCTCCGGGGTTCTCCAGGCCCGGCTCCCGCCCACCCGGCCACCTTCCTCTGGGGACCGTGCATGGGGGGAGGGCGGGCTCCATGCAAGCTGAGGAGATAGGGGTCTTCTGACCCCAGACAGATGGTGCAGCGTGGACCCGCCCGGCGGGTTTACCGGATCCTGGTGAAGAGGTTGAGGACAGACACGGACTCCTGCAGACACAGGAGGGACACACTGAGCTTCAGGCCCCAAGGAAGAAAGTGCTGCCCTGAGGGAAACTGAGGCTGCGGGGCCTGAGGGGTGGCTGGAGGCACTGGGTCTGCATAGAGGACAGGCCGCGCTGACCCTGAGTGACCCGGGTACCCCTGCAAGTGACAGGGGTGCAAGGTGACGCAGGCGCAGAGAGGGGGTACGGAGGTCGGGGGATCCCAGGGTAGTCATGCCCAGGAGGATAAAGCAGAGGGTGGGGACAGCCCCGGGATAGGCTGGGGTGTGGGGGTGCATGGCGCTGTGATACCGACCCACTTTACCTTTGTCGAACGGGTTTTGCTAAAGACATTCCAGAATCTTAGGGTCTCATCTCCAGCACCGGTGACTATCGCCTCCCCATCAGGGGACATTGCCTGTGGGAGGAGAGAAGCCCATCAATGTCCTGGGCTCCTGCACAGGCAGCCAGAGATGGAGGTGGGGGCATAGGTGGGGAACAGGGGGGAGGTGTGGGCAGCTGGGCCCAGGACGGGGGCCACCAGAGCCAAACTGGCAGAGCCTAACCTCGAGGCTGGAGCGTTTTCATAAAAGCAGCAAAGACACCCCTGCAGGGAGGGACGGGCAATTCTGTGCAGAGGAGCAAGGGTAAACCTGCCCAGATGGATTTAAACACACCGCTTTTTTTCTGGAAGAAAAACCCTGCAGAGTGGGCGCACTTGGGGCGAGGGACATCCCTTTACTCCTTTCCAGCCATGTGCGAGAGGTTATTTTGTAAAATGGCCACAGAGGTTGTCACAGTGATCAGACATGAGCTCTTTCTGTTTTCTTCATGTCTTTTTGTGAAAAGCAAGACAGCCAGCAGACAGGCTGAGGCTCGCGAGGGGGGCAGAGCCTCAGTCCTCACGGGGCTGGAGACGTCCGCTGACGCACCAGCACT